GTATTATTTATATGTTAATAGAATCTTTAAAAAATATATATTTCCCAACAGGTTATTACTGGATCTGGAAAGGTTACTGGTTTTTAATAGTCATTTTAAACAGTTTTTTAATCATGTCTCTTGAGTTTTCTAGGCAAAACATCTGCAAATAAAGGTAAATTTTCTTCTGCCTTCAATATTTTATCTGTTATTTCTGTTTCTTGTCAGAATTATTTCAGCATAATTTTAAAGGATAGAGTTGATAGTGAGCATCTTTATACCTGATTTTAATGAGAATGCCTCTCCTGTCATATCACTGGATATGGAGATTTTAAAATACACCCAAAAGAAGATTGAATAGTAAAAAGAACTCTCATTGCCCATTACCTAGCTTCAGCAATTATCAATATTTTGGCAAACATTTAAGATTATAAATTAATCCAGACTTTTTAGATGCTAATTTGGAAATATCTATTCAGAAATGGATCCAGCAATTACATTGCTAGGCATTAATCCTAGTACACCAGTACCAATAGGCAAAGATATGCAAGGATGCTAATGTTACTGTGTAGAATTGCAGAAAACTAGAAAATATTTCCCAATAGGTGAATGAAAAATAATGGCACATTCATATATGTAAACTGTTCCATAATTCATTTATATTCAAATAATAAACTACGAAAAAATTTTGTACATCTATGTGCTTATATGGGAGGATGTCCAAGATACCATATACAATGAAAAAATCAAGTGCTGAATAATCTGTATAGTATGATTCCCTTTTCAAAAGGCAGTAGTCACATACTTAAAAAAGTTTTTTTTTGGCTATCCTGTGCAGCATGTGGGATCTTAGTTCCCTAACTTAAACTCACTTCCCCTGTATTGAAAACTCGGAGGCTTAACCACTGGACCGGCAGGGAAGTATTAGTCATATGCTTTTATGTGCATGGGAAATTTCTGGAAAGATATGTAAGAAACAGTTAATGGAGGTTATGTCTGAGAAGGAGAACAAGGAATGATGGTGGGAGGTTGAGGAATTACTATACAGTTTCTCCTCTTCCTTACAGTTTGACTGTGACTGTCCTACCATTAGCATTATTATTGTTATGTTGTTTAGTCACTAAGTTGTGCCTGACTCTTTGGCTACCCCATGGACTAGCCTGCCAGGTTCCTCTGTCCATGAAATATTCCAGGCAAGAATACTGGAGTTGGTTGCCATTTCCTTCTCCAGGGGATCTTCCAAATGCAGGGAATGAACCTGCGTCTCCTGCATTGGCAGGCGGATTCTTTACCCCTGAGCCACCTGAGAAGCCCCATTATTTTTATAAAACCTTATTACAGATATGATGTTGGCTATTGGTTTAATATTTACTAAGAGTTTTTAAAAATTTAGCTGTTTTAATGAGGTGTAGGTGTTAGATTTTTATCATCTATTGAGATAAGGTTTTGTCTTATGTGGCCTAAATGTATGATTTGTTATTTCAAATATTTTTCTATTATTAAAATATTATGGGATTTCTCAGATAAAATCTTCCTGATCTTATTAAAAATTACTTGTTTCAAAAAAAAAATAAATAAATAAATAAAAATTACTTGTTTCATTGAAAATAACTTGCTGATATTTCTGGGGGGAATTATGGCATTTGATTTCTTATGTGAGTTTATATCTTTGACTATTCTTTTTGTACTCTTGATAGGTTTTATAGTTATATTTGCTTCATAAAATGAATTACATTTTTATATATTTATATATTCAGAAAGGGAATTATATGTCTTTCAAAATTTGCAAGAATTTGCTTATAAAATCTCTAAGATGAGCCTTTTCTGACTTCTTCTCTGGTTTTTATCTACTTAGTTTTTCTAACTTATTGATAAAATTTGGGTGACATATATTTTTCCTGGAAAAAAAAAAAGGATTGGAATATAGCTAACTATATACATAGCATTCTCAGATAATTTTTTTAAAAAAACCTCAAACTTCTCTGTATCTATTGTCTCCTTTCCCCTTTATAATTTTATTTATATTTTCTTTTTTAATTAGAGTTGCCAGACATTTCTCTACTTTCTTCCTATTTTTCCCAAAGATTTACTTTTGGAATTGATCAACAATTGTGGCTTATTTTCTCATTCATTACTTTCTACTTCAATCTTTGATTCTTTTCTCAGAGTTTAATTTTTAAAAAAGTATTACTTCACTTATTTCTGTTCTTTCACATTCATTGTTCTACTGCTAATCAATGTTCCTAAACTTGGGTCTGATTTCAAATGACTGTGGGGTATTTCTAAAAATTAATACACTTTCAAAAGAGATTTGCTATTCCTGATGATGTCATTTAAAAGAATGTGACTCAGTGTCTTATAGAACTCTAAAGAATTCTAAAAATGTTTAATGACAATCGCAGCAAGCTTAAAGTGACCCATTCTGAGAGGGCCAAGATCTATAAAACCTATACATTTCCTAAAATGTTTTCTGCCTTCATATATTTGGAAAGAATCAAGGGCTAGGAGTTAAAGAGAAAGTCTCACATCTGCCTAATGGGATGTCCTCTAATATCACATGTCTATAAGTCAAGATATTTTAAAATGCTTTTTCTTTATGTGAAAATGCATTTAAATACAATTTGAACACAGCCTGGCTTCATGATTGCTTGTGACTGAAATTAACCCTAGATAAAACATTTTTCAAAGGCAAAGATGAAAAACTGTTCATTTGATAGGATGACAAAGTTTTCCCTGCAAAAATCAATGATGCAGATAAGAGAGAACATGTTTTTAAAAATAATTTTTACATGCTATGAAACACCAGATTATACACAATAAAAATGTCTTTAGTAAAAAAAAAATTTGCTGATAGAAAGGTAGATTTGCAGGTGTGACCTTTGCCAACATATGTAGATCATCATCAAATCCACATGTTTGTAGAATTATGTAATAGTGTTTAAGTGGCCAGGAAAGGGAGGATTTTGTGGTCAAGAAAGTGGAAATGTCCTATTTAACATATGACCCTGGCCAGTCTCATCTCAAATTACTGTTGCTCAAGTTACAGATGGTTAGCAAGCCAAGTAGGAGGGAAGAGAAAGGGCCGACAAATCTACAGTTAACAGGAGGCCACAAAGCCAGTGGCTGTTATCATTAAAAATACAAACATACTCAAATCTTCCATATTTAAAGTAGTGCAAAGAAAAAAACTGTCTTGCACAGCATTCTGGACCAGAAGACGTTGCTGTAAATGGGTTTAACATATATCTGTCCCTAATAATTAGGTTTTAGGAAAGATAGAACGTAGTTTGATGAATGAACTGAAAAACATATAATTAGACTACCCTTCCCAACTGACAGCTTTATGATCATGATTGAAAAGCAGTTTTTTCGTTTTGCACTTATTTGCATCTCAAGTTTTTTAAGCTCCCAAATGTTTAAAACATACAAGTGCCTGTGCTCTAGGAATTTACTCTTGAGAGAAAACACCACTAGGAACTAGTAAGTGGGGGGGAAAATTTTTAATCTCTACTAACACAGAAGCAAGTATACATAAATTTATGTATTTAGTATTGGTTTCAACTGATTGCCTTGTAAAGAAGCAGTTCAGGCTAACAGGAGAGTGCGTCAGAGCCAAAAATAATCCTAATGTTGTTTGCTATTATGGTTGTGAAAATTTCAGTAAAGTACAGACTGAAAGCCCAAAGGATGCTAAAGGATTATCCAGAAAGCAGAGCCTCAAGCCAAGTTTAAGTGCTAAGATTTTATTAGGAGGTACGACCCCAGGGCAGCAAAGGTGAGGGGAAAGGCAATGCAAAGCAATGTTTCACTAAGCTGAAAACAACTTGAGGAGAAAGCACAGGTGGACTGCTCATCATTTCCCAAGGACAGCTTCTAGACAGCCACACTGGGACCTGTTGCCTACGGAGCAAAAAGGAGAGGTACTTATTTCTTGCTCTCTGCCCTCTTTTCTGGGTGTGTCCCTGACCCTCCCGGCAATTGCCAGAGACAAGAATAGGCTGAACCTCTGTGTTTTTCACCCGAGTCTGGGACTGGTGGGAGGAGCCTGGGCCCCTCTGCACTGAGCTAGAGGCTAAGATGAGAGAGGGGGTGCAACTGAGCAAACCGGGGAGATGCACAAGCTGGCACAGCGCATCCTTCTGGGACCTGAGCTGTTCCTAGTGCTGGTGGTCACGATTCTTAGGGGGGAGGAGCCACTCCATTCAGAGATCGCAGTTAGCTCTCAGATTGTGTAAATGTAATTATTTTCCATCAAACTGTCTCGTGTTCCTCACTACGCTTACCCACTGCTTTAACTCTTCCCCTCCCAAGATTTTTTGAGGTGTAATGTGAATCGGATTCTTTACCAGCTGAGCTACTAGGGAAGCCCACGAATACTGGAGTGGGTGGCCTGTCCCTCCTCCAGGGCATCTTCCCGACCCCAAATCGAACCCGGGTCTCCTGAATCGCAGGCAGATTCTTTACCAGTTGAGCTACTAGCGAAGCCCAATTTGAATATAAAAAAATTCACCCATTTGAAGACTACAAAGCCTTGGATTTTGGCAACTGCACACGTCCTGTAACACCCAGTCCTATCAAGGCGTGGAATCGTGCCATCGCCCCCAAAGTTCCCTCCTGCTCCCCTGCCTCCCATCCTCTCGCCTCTTTCATCCCTCCCCAGGCAACGGCTTACCTCACCAGTTTTGCTTCTTCTAGAATTTCAGATAAACGCAATTGGACAGACTAAGGTCTTTTGGGTTTACCCACTACGCCCACCTGTACCAAGCAATTTTTTTTTTTTTTTGCAATTTTTAAAAAATCCATCCTTGTCGCTTCCCGTATTTATAACTGGGTGCATTTTCACGCTTCGCTGTTTTGGAGAACTTCCTCTGTGTGCTAAACGTCGGGCACTTTACCTGCATTCGCCCGTTTGGAACCCTCACAACTACCCTTCTTTACAGCAGAATGACCCGAGGCTAGGGGCGCCCGTCTGGGGAGCTTGCGGAGCGGGAGCGGGGCCGACACCGGCTAGTTAGAATATCATGCTCGCCCCGGTCGGGGAGCCCGATCTGCGGCACCTGCGGCTGGAGAGGGGAACAGTGGGTGTGACCGTGTACAGCCGCAGGCCAAACAAACGCCCCGGGACGGAGGCCTTGCCGGACCGCCCGCAAGGCCGGAGCCATGGAGGGTACTCTATCCTACCGTACCCGGGCCGCCGCCTCCGGGGCTGCCTGCTCAGGCCACGAGTAGGGGCGGGGCCGCGGACGGGCGGCGCGCAAGGGCGCGGGGGCGGCGCGCAAGGGCGCGGGGGCGGCGCGCAAGGGGCGGGGGCGGCGCGCAAGGGCGCGGGGGAGCCGCGTTTCCGCGGACGCATCACGTTTCCGGGCGTTTCACCGCGCGCCGTTTCCCTCCGCGCGGTCGGCGCTACTTCCCGCGGGGCCCGAGGACCCCAGTCGTCGGTGAGGGGAGCGTGCAATTGGCTGCGGCGGCGTAGCCGCTGCAGAGGGACTAGTGAGAAGAGGAGTGCCAAGTCGTTTCACCTCCTCCGCGGAGGCCTGATTTGAAGGACCCGGTGGAAACAAAGATGCCGGTACTGTGCCCTCCGGCTAGGCGCGGCCTGGTCGCAGCTATTGTCTGGCTGCCTGACGGGAAGCAGCGGCTCTATTTTTCTTCTGCCGAAGTTGGTGCTTCTCGGCTGCGGAGGGACTGACGAGGAGCCTTTGTCTGCGGGAGAAGAGCTGTGGCGAAGTGGCTTTTCCTGAATGGCCACCGGGCCGCTCTCTGCTCCGCTGCGCTGGCGATGTTTTCCGTGTCATTTAAACCCGGGAAAATCTGCTTTTCCTCTCCTGACGTTTTCATTCTAATTGGAGTCTTGGCGTCTGAGTCGTTAGAGGGCTACCCTCTATCTCTTTTAGCGAACCTGAAATTTGAGGGGCCGAGTTCTCTTCGGACGCTTAGCACATCTTTTCCTCCCTCAGAAAGAATTGAATTGGAAAACCGTGGAGGTGGGCGAGGCTCACACAGACTCAGTCCTGAAATTTGTTTTGCTGAGGCCACGCTGATGCCCGAGACGCAGGCATGAGGAGGGGTTTAAAGTTGTTTGGGGATCCCATTATTCTACCACTTCTTAGTGGCTATCCAGAGAAACTGCCCGAACAGAGAAGGTGAAGGCTGCCAAACCTCAGAAAAGGGCTTCCAGTTCGCTGCGGAGGCGTCTGTTGTTTGGTTACACTACGGCCTCGGTGACAAAAGAGGGGAGGAGGGTGTATTTTGAGAGCATTGCTGATCTCCTGTTTCCCTTCGTGGCATTTCTTACCACCTGCTAGATGTTTCATATTTTATATGTTTATTGTTTGACTTCTCTTTCCCCACTTGATCTAATCCTGCGTGAGCAGGGGGTTGTTTGGTCACTGGTTGCCTGGAGCCTCGCACAGTGCCTGGTGAAGTACTGGGGGCTTCGTAAGTATTTACTGACTCAGAGAATGAAAAACACATGGCAAATTCTTTAAAGGAATCGTGAGAGAAGCACAAAACCGAAAGCCATGTGACATCGGAAAGTTGATCTCAAACCTGCTCTTTTCATTTCAGAGCAGTGATTGGTAGGGAATGGCCAAGGGATAGTGATACCCCACATTTTGCAAAAAAGAATAGTGAAAAGAATGAGCTTTACATCTAGGGTGCTCTCCACTTCACTCTAGGGATTAAGTCTCTGAGGTGAACCCACTAAAAATCTTTGAAGAAAATTGAAACCCTTTTTCAATAGTCCTATGTGCCCCTCAGACACATGCTCAACCCCATTTAGGTGGCCTGTCTGATGAGCAAGACATGGGTCTTTGGGATATTGAGAACACAAGACGGACACCAATGCGCCACACAGATATTTTTCTGTGCTGGACCCTGTGTATCATGTATCATGTTGGAGACACATCTAGGGAGTGTTTCACATGAAAATTAGTTTGCTAAATTCTGCTACCTGAAAGCCCTTTCATAAATGGCCCCAGGGGATGCTTATTCATAAATGATGGACTAATTTTGAAGGGAGTGAAAGTGGGGTGCTTTGAGAGTGAATAGCCAGCTTCTCTAAAGAATTACCCTTGTTTCAACCTCCATTTCTTTGAAACTTTTGGTTAGGAAATGGCCACACCTTGGCCAGAAAAGTTTATAATACCTGTCAAAGGTTGAAAAGTCCTTCACAAAAAATAAGTTTAAGATTTCATATGTTAATTTCTCAACCAACCAGTAATCATCTCATCCTGGTATGCAGAACTGGAGGTATCATGTAAGAGCATTCATTCAACAAGTATACTATATTTATTGATATTATTCCTTGTTCTAGGTATTGCAGATAAAGCAGTGAAAAAAAGAATTCCTCTCCTATTTTATATTGTTCTACTTCCAGACCCCTTCCGTCTTTTCACTACCTATTTTTTTCTTATTTTCACCTTTCATCTACCATCTACTTTACCACTTTTTTCAAAACATTTCTTAGTTCTGCCCCTCACTTCATCCAAAATATGAACATACAAAAATACATGATGAAATAAATCCATTTAAAAAATCAAGTCCTTTTAAAAACACAGCTTTTTACCAAAAAGAATCCATTTCTAAAATGTTTGTTTTATGGCTATAATTTTTTCAAGTTTAAAAACGAAAAAATGATTTTGCTGTTTCCTTCATTTCGCTATTGTATAAGTGAAGATAATTACTGTTCAGTCAGCTTTCACCCTTCCATGAGAATGTTTCCTTCACCCAGACTTTGCCTAACCATACCAATCTTACAATAAAACACAATAAAAATATTATGTGGAGAATAGGATGCATGTGTGCTCAGTCATGCTGACTCTTTGGACTTAGCCCGCTAGGCTCCTCTGTCCATGGGATTCTCCAGGCAAGAATACTGGAGTGAGTTGTTCTAGGGGATCTTCCTGACCCAGGGATCAAACCTGTGTTCCTGTATCTTCTGCCTCTTGCATTGGCAGGCATATTCTTTACCACTGTGCCACTGTACCAATATTAAAATTTTTTAAGTAGAGTTGTTCCTTTTCCAGATTTTTAAAAAAGGAGTAAACTGAATGTTGGCCTAGAGATTAGGAAGAGAAATGTACAAGGTTCTAGTGCACAACACAGTAGCAGAAGGAATTTTCTTAGTTGTACTCACTAGTCTTTTTCACCATTTTTCTCTAAGTTTTTTTCCCTTTCATTCAGTCCAAAATTGCTCACTGGCCCAAATGTTCCCTGAAGATTATGCCTTAACTACAGTCCTCCCCTTTCCCCATTTAAATATGTTACGTTTCAAACTTGCTTACACATTCTTCTGAACAATCCCTATATTCCTGCTAATTCCCTTCAGCTTGAACTGAGGAAGCAGACAGCCTCTCTGTCCTCCCTCACCTCCCCTCCTCCAGCCCTAATGCCAACCCCCAATTGCTCAAACCTAGGGGTTAGAGCTGAATTACCCAACATGCTAGTGATTCTCAATCCTGGTTGGCATATTAGAATCACCCGGGAGACTTTGAAAAAAATACTGATTTCATGGGCCTACCCCTGACCAATGACCTTAGAATCTGTGGATTTAGAGTTCCAGCATTAATACTTTTGTAAAGCTCTCAGGAGATTCTAACGAAAGGTAGTTTGAGAAACAGTGCAGTGGGCAGCTCAAGTATCTGTTTAGGGCAATGATTCTCAAACTTCAGTGCTTCAGAATCGCCTGAAAGGGCTTGTTAAAACACAGATTGCTAGGTTCTAGCAATCAGAGGTTCTGATTCAGTAAATTAAGGGTGGGGCCAGGAATTAGCATTTCTGACAAGGTCTCAGAGGATGGTGCTGCTGCTGGTTTAGGATTACACTTTGGGGACTGCTGTCCTAGTACACCAGGATAAATGGACACCAAGAAAAAAAATGAGAGGAGCGGGGAACCCAGAAAGATTCATATTTCAAACAAAGCTTCTAAGTAACTCTCATGGTGCAAATCAGAAACATTTTGAGCTTCCTTACCTTTGCCAACAAAGGTCCGTCTAGTCAAGGCTGTGGTTTTTCCAGTAGTCATGAATGGATATGAAAGTTGGACTATAAAGGAAGCTGAGCGCCAAAGAATTGATGCTTTTGAACTGTGGTGTTGGAGAAGACTTGAGAGTCCCTTGGACTGCAAGGAGATCCAACCAGTCCATCCTAAAGGAGATCAGTCCTGGGTGTTCATTGGAAGGACTGATGTTAAAGCTGAAACTCCAATACTTTGGCCACCTGATGCGAAGAGCTGACTCATTGGAAAAGACTCTGATGCTGGGAAAGATTGAAGGCAGGAGGAGAAGGGGACGACAGAGGATGAGATGGTTGGATGGCATCACCGACTCAATGGACATGAATTTGGGTGGGCTCTGGGAGTTGGTGATAGACAGGGAGGCCTGGCATGCTGCAGTTCATGGGGTCGCAAAGAGTCAGACACGACTGAGTGACTGAACTAGCCTTTATTTTATGGCTAGTTTGATTCTTGATTTAGACTTGTGTTAAGGGAGATATGACTCCCATAATTCTTTTACTGCTAAAGGTGGCTTTTAAAAGTCTTAAGCCCTATGGTTAAGTATCCCACAAGCCAATGCATCTCTTCGTGTAAACTGCAGCTTTCACCTTTCTGTGATAATGTTCCCTTCACTAGATTTTCCCTGACCATAACGGATCATAGTAGCCCACCATAGAATATTTATGGAGAGTAGCAAAGTAAAATATTAATACACACATATTGCTCACATCTCCCAACAAAAAGCTCTAAGGCAGAAATAGTGTTTATCTTGTCTTCCAGGTGATGGGTGAATGTATCTTGCATGTTGAACCCTGTGACAGAGAACTTGACCCATGGAGGGCATACAAATAAGATTGCAAGAAGACCTGTCAGAGTTATGGAAATGAAAGGTACTTTTGCTCTTGAATAACTTTTCCATATGTTTTTGCAGTTTATCTTTTCCCTAGCAGCACATGAGATTTTCTACTTTATATGTAGAAAATCAGGTGCAGGAAGCTTTCAAACTTGCCCTGAACCATACAGCTCATTAGGTCTGAAGTGAGAGCTGTTGACTCCCAAACTCTGCCTCCTTTTCTGTAGAATATGTTATAATTCAAATTACAGACCACTGGATCTGAAGGGAAGAGGGAAAGAATTTGAACTTTTTTTTAATCCTATAGAAGTGAAATCTAAGAAAAACACCCTGCATTTTTCAAGTCCATGTAAGTAACAGGGTTAATGTGTGGTTAGATGCAATTTATGATGCCTTAGGGAAGAACAATCTGAAAAGGGAGTAAGACCACAACATGGATGGACCTTAAGGGCAATATATTAAGTGAAATAAGTTAGAAAGACAGATACCATATGATTTCACTTATATGTGGAATTTTTAAAAAACAAAGAAACAAACAAAAACCAAGCTCATGGAGAGAACAAACTGATGGTTGTGAGAGGTGAAGGATGGGGCTTGTGAGAAATGGGTTAAGGGAATCAAAGGTACAAACTTCCAGTTATAAAATAATTTGTCAGGGGATGTAATGTACAGCATGGTGACTATAGTTAATAGTT